TGGGGAAAGAATCTGTTTAATCACATCAGGAAATCAATAGTCACTAAAAAATAACTTAGGGGCTTCTGGGTGGCTCAGTGGGTTAAAGCCTCTGCCTTCAGCTCGGGTCATGATCCCAGTGTCCTGGGATTGAGACTTTCCGGCTCTCCGCTCAGCGGGGAGCCTGCTCCCCCCGCCACCACCCTGCCTGCCTCTCCACCTACTTGTGATCTGTCAAGTAAAAAAATAAAATCTTTAAACAAATAAATAAATAAATGTTAGATGCTTATAATCATAAATAAAATGAACTAGTTACATGACACAAATTTGCAGGTAACCTAACAGCATTATTTCGTGACATCGTCTAGGGATCGTTAGACACTGGGCATGAAGCAGACAAAGCAGGTGGTAGATCATCTATGCTTGAGAGCAGAGCAGCACCGTTGAAGTCAACAATTATAGATTCAGGATTTTCCCAATAGTAAATATTTACTTCTATTTTGAGTTCCCCTCTCAAATTATAGTTCGAAAAATAGGACCACTGGGAAATCTTCTAGGGGCTAAATTAAGTAATAGAGATACAAATACCAAGATCAGTCCTCATCCTGATAGGTGAGCTATGGAAGCCCTCCAGTCTCTACTTTATTCCTCTATCCACTGCCACCCAAGCTAGTACAAAAGCTTCCTAACTCTTCTAATTTCCTCTGTCCCCTTACATGCTTCTACTCCACATCCTAGAGCGACATAATTTTTCTAAAGTATAGTATCTCAGGTATTAGTCCAGCCTGACTCTTGCTGGCTTTTCATGACTTTAAAATAAATTGTGATCAATAATTTAAGAAGTATATCATCAATTATATGAGTAACTTGATTAAAAATAGTCATCCATTTTCTAATGAAATAAAACTAACCACTAGCCCAGCATTCAACATTATCCAAATTTCTTTTCCATCCCTCCTTCCCATGGCTCCCCTCTCTGTAGGCAGATCTTCCCACTTGGATCACAGATTATTTAGATGTGATTTTCCATATTTTGAGTTCCTGCTCTCCTTTAAATCCCTTGAATACCTTCTATCTCTCTGTGGCACTCACTTTACTATGCTTTCTTTTGTTAAATGAGTCTTATTCCTCCTGCTCTCCCCATTAAGAAGTTAAATTTTTTTAGTCCAGAAGTTGTGTCTTGTTCATCTGTGTCTTCCTGTTAGGACTAAGTGCATGAGGACATGTTAGGTACTCAAAAAAATAAGATAAAATTGAATGGACTTCTGTATTCAACTTTTTTTTTTTAATCTTCTTGCTTCCTAAAGAGGCATGCTGCCTAAGTCCTACCTACAACAGCAGCTGAGTTAGCTAGCTAAAATAATATGGCGTTCATCCTGTTTGCACTCAGATTATGTGCAATTTTTGGTAATATTTGCTGACTCTTAAAATCTGGCTCATTTATGTCACATTCTTCAGATATCATGCATATTCCAGTACGCTTGTTTCTTCATTAACAACGCTTTTTATTCAACAAGATTCCCAGATTGATTCTGAGTGGACTTGTACTTGAGCATTTATTAACATAGAGTTTTCGTCTCATTAGTAGTTTTTTAGCTTTCTAGCATCCAGGGTATGGTCACTCCATTCATGGCATAAGTATAATCAAAACTGTCTCCACAATGTCAGCATAATGTAAATAAAGACATACAGGGGAGTCATTATCACATGGGCATAAGGAAGAGACCAAATAACTTCTTACAGAAGAAGGAAACAATATAGGGTAAAATTGAGCTGAGATGAATATTGCACTAACCCCATCACCTCTTTTCCCACTATGCTTAGAGGAAAAATTCAGTGAATAATCAAGAGAGCTATGGAACTCTGGAACTCCCAATGTAGAAAGGCAATGGGATGCAATTAACACCCTGCATTTTTTTATTAGCTTACACCGCAGGGAAGAAATGTCTAAAAGGCTATTTAAATTCAGTATAAAATTCTAGCAACCACTATTTTAATTGCATAACTGCAAAACATTTTTCTCATTGTCGAAATAAAAAGAAGCCTGTAACGCATGTTTCCTACTTGTTTCAGGACTCAGTTATTAACCTTTAAGAATCTTTTCTAGGAGAAAAGCTTCTTTCTCTAGCAAATGCATCTTGAGACTGGGACTTAACCTAAAATCCTAACTCCTGTCGTGGACCATGTCGACACTTCAATCCCTGTCATAAAAACACCTTGAACAATATTTCAGACACAGGAATGTCAGAGCTTTTCTTTTTTTAATGGGCAGCTAAAAAATAATTTTTAGCAGTCACAGAAATTAAAAGCTACCTTGTTCTCCAGCACACCAATATACACATGTAAAAGAATGCATAATATGCAGTGTGATTACTCAAGAACAAACCATAGCAAATGCAAGAAAAGACCAGGTTGTTGTTTCCATAGCAATGACTTTATGTGGTTTAACTCTTCTGGGAATTTAACCAAATCCCCAGCAGCAGGAGAAAATCATCAGCAAAAATTTTGTGACATATGGCAACTGCCAACACATCAGTGAGGGGAAAATAATTTTATTTTCTCTTTCTTTCTACTGAAAGGAATACCTTCATGTCAAGCTGTTGGAAAAAGCACAGAGATTTTGTTGGTCACCCTGCACTTAACTCAAAATTTTAAAATACGAGGTTTCTTCTTCTTTAGACTGAAAGAGATGTTGGTCCCCAGCCAGCTCTGCAACTCATGCATCCCAAAAGTGACACGTGGACACGGACAAGAGGTACATACATATTCCAGTGACTCGCAGCTTATTCATCCTAAAGAAAACTCAATCTGCAGGGTCATCCCTCAGGAAAGAATGCAAATGAGAATTTATTTTCTGTTTTGCTTTTAAAGTCAACCTCATCCTGGGGTAATGTGTGTGTGTGTGTGTGTGTGTGTGTGTGTGTGTACATGACAATTTTTAGTTCTACGTATGGCCCAATGATTAAAGTAAGAGTTTTTCACAAACAAATAATAGATGTGGTACTTTTCATGATTTTCTTTAGTTCAAGCAGCCCTGTATCTCGAAGACTTTTCCAAGTATCAGGTTAGAGGCCGAGCAGTTCAAGATACTTAAGTGCTCTCTTCATTATGTCTTTATAAGAACAAAGACAGTGGGGCACCTGGGTGGCTCAGTCAGTTGAGCATATGACACTTTGGTTTTGGCTCAGGTCATGAACTCAAGAGTGGTGAGATGGAACCCTGAATCAAGCCTCAGCTTGCACTCCTCAGAGAGAGTGGAGAGGTGCAGAGGGAAAAGCAAGTCCTCCCTCTCCCTCTGCCCCTCCCCCTGCTTGTGCTCTCTCTCTCTCTTTCTGTCCCTCTCTCTTTCACTCTAAAATAAATAAATAAATAAGTAAACAAATAAATAAAATCTTTTTGAAAAAAGACCAAAGATTGTGATCAATATGCAATTAATACCCAATGAAAATGATTGTCTCAGCATGAGGAAACACCTCCAGAGACAAGGAATACATTACTTTCCAAGAAACCCATTCAATTTTGAACCATTTTCAACATTAAAAGAAGTTTCTTAGGCCTTTTTGTTTGAGTTTCTATCCTCACAACCTGCATTAGTTTTATACGTCCAAGGAGACAGAGATTACGCCCAACATTTCTTCGTGGGACAGCACCTCTCAAACCTCGGGCCAGCTCACATCTCCTGTGTTGCATCCCTCAGAGCCCACCCATGACCCCCTGTACTCCTCACTGGTGCTCTTTCCACCCTGCCCCCTACACCACCCCCTTCACTTCTAGACAAGGGTTATTTCACCAGTGACTTTTCACACTCCACTTTTTTAAATGTAAAGTAGATCACTGGCCTAAATTAGAGGTATTAAACACAAATGCCATAGCTACCAGGCAGGTAACTCAACTGGGTGAAGCATCTTCAGGTAAGGACACAAGGAGTGGCAACAACTGTGATGACTTAGAGAATGAGTTCCCAGCCTGAGCATTCAGATTGGCATATTTCAAAATACTGAATACACACACACAACTGGGACTACAATCGTGGTCCTTGGATTAAATTACCCTGATACTAAATGGTAAATTAATAGGGTATATCTGAAAATTTGAGGACTTAAATAAATTTCTCTGATTATGCTAGGGGAGAGGGGAGAGTGGTCGTCTGTGTCTTCGGGCCATTCTGGAAAGACAGCATGAGAATTTCACTGGTCAACTTTCTTTCAAAAGTACACTGAAAAAATAAAACCAAACTCGGCATTATCTTGTTGTCTAGTATCTTGTATCAGGCAAGTATGTTTTTACACCCTAGTAAATAAGGTACAAACCACCCGAAAAGACGCATCATGACTGAAAACTAATAATAAAAAAAGTTCCACTGAACAAAAGATAAAGACCAATCATCACAGAGTATGAAGAAAGTTCACATTATTAATTTCCATACTCCATGAACTGTTTTCTTTGCTATAAGACTTAGAATATTTCGTTTTGTCTTTTTTTTTTTTTCCAGGAGCATAAACCGTGCTCTTCTTTGTGTTTGAAAGTTCTAGTGCTGCCTTCCAAAGTGCATATAAATTGTCTGTCTCCCTGTTAACCACACAGACACCTTCAGGGGTCAACTAACGAGGAGCCAGACCTTTTCTGTAGTTGTGCCCCAGGGTAGGTGGTTGCTCTCCATTTATTTGGAACCACTAGATACTAATCTACAAAACCCTGATCTAATCACCATAAGCTCCAGGGCATAGGACATGGGACCAAAAATGAGTCAAGTTTTTCCTCAGATTGGTAGAAAATCACATGTCTAATAACTGTAAACATGTGGCCAGTGATACTTCTGTGGGTAAGTAATGGCCCTGAAGCTGGAGCCTTCCACATACAAACTCCCCACAGAAGTATCCCTTGGCCTTAGCCCCACCTGATTGCTTAATTATTGAATCATCATCCATGACTTTAAACATTCTTCTTACTACAAATTAGAGCTCTAGATCCACCCACAAATATTCATTCTCTCGCAAAGAGTAAACAACTTCTTGGTTTACCTCTGTCCACCATATTGGATCCAGCGGGCTTGTCTGGGACAATCAGATGGTCCAGGTTGCTATTCAGTGAAGACGTGTCATCACTAGACAAAGAGTTCAAAAATCCACTTTCTGATGTGGCAAAGCTGTTTTCCAGAGCCCTGCAACTGTTTGCCTCTGAGGGCGCAGATGAGTGAACCTGCACAGCCAATGTTATAGACTGTCCCTCATCATCGGCCGTGGCGGAACTATTCCCCATGTCGATCCAGGACTGTCTCTCTCTAGATAAGGAGGCCAAACTGCTGTTTGTCTTTATTGTACTTTCCGAGGAAGAGGAAGAGCAAGATTTGGGTGAAGAGGAAGATGCCTGCTGTGCAGCCTGTTTCACAAATAAAAACAAAAAGAATAAAATAAATCATGATTAAACTGGCATTCTCTATTTTCCATTTTTAACAGAGGTATTCCAGGCTTTCAGAAAAAAATTATTAGTAACAAATTGTTTTAAAAACTATTCACAAGTTTTGGGGCTTCACTTTTTTTTTTTTTTTCATCTGTTTTACCAAATGTAACTCAGAATAATTGCTTTTTGTTCTTGTATTTAACCCTTTTTTTTCCAAACAGCTGAAGACACCATATTTAACTTTTTATCTCTATGATAGGGAAATAGCTGCCCTGGCCCTGCATAAGACCTTAATTCTTATACTTCTTGCGAGGATTATTAGTACAATCCCTTTTTATTCTGTTTGAGTTAAATTTGCTATGAGGGGAAAATTACAATTCTTAAACTTCTTCATTACTTAATTTGAAGATTCTTTAAGAGATCACAGCAAAGTTTATTATAAAACGGTTACAAGGACTTGGTAAAATACACTGACAGAGAACTGGTCTGTTTCTATTCTGTATTTCCAATATTTGCCACAAGGAATGCAGTTAAGATTACATTTAAATTTAAATTTCATTCTACTTCTTATGGATCTACAACTGCAAGTTTAATTGACATGCCGGGGGCTCAGTTGTGTATCATAATGTCTTATTTAAAAAGATACCAAAGAAACCTCAACTAGTCTTAAAAAAGAATCAGAAGAAAATTGCGTGATATTTATATTCCTATGGCAAGAACTATGACTCTATCGCCCAAAACCAATTTGTATAACTTTGAATTCTTTGTTTAAGGATCTGAGACATCTCCATAACATGATTTACCCTATTCTTCAATGCTCCCTAGAAATGTAAAAGTTCCCTTTGGGAGATTCTTTGAAATACTGAAGGATACTTTGAGCAAAAATAGATTGTAATCGATCACTGAATTCTCACTGATTGAGCAAAAACCCTTGAGAAAGGTAATTAAGAGAGAGAAAACAAAAGCTGAAGCCAGATAGGAAGCAAAATATTAACTGAGTGGAAACCATGGATGTGGACAAAGTCCATACATTTCTGTTCTCCAATATCATACATATATTCTTTAGCACATACCCAGCAATAGCTTGTAATACATAGGTAAAATCATGTTAGCTCATTAGTTCTTTAATAATTTGAAACCTTTAATAAACGTTCACCAAAAAAGATAAGAATCCACTACAAACTCGTAATTCACTAAAGAGAAACCAGCAATTGCACCTAGACTGTGAGAAGTAGGCTAATGTTACAGGGATCTTCTGAAAGCAGCTCCTAACATACAATGCAAGAATGAATAAGAGTCCTTGGCAAAATGTTCATCTGCTCATGGAGAAAACATCAGTGCAACATCACCAATCACCTTCTCTTGGAAAGGACTTCATTTATTCTGAAATTTTATCCTAGTTTCATTTTGATGGTAAAAATAATATGCCTTCTTTTGGAAAATGGTGATAGTAGATGTTAGTTTTTGTCTTTTTAAAGTTTTTTTTTTAATGTCCTACAAAGCAAAATAAATATCTGGCAACTATATGTTGTTCCCTCATTTTTCATTTTCTTTATCAATAAAATCCAAAAATCAAGATGACAGAGACAACAGTGTTCTCTGGGTCATATCTCTCCAATGGCAGATGAGACAGAGAAGACATTTTATAGTTGAGATCCATCAATTTCAAACATTCAACAGTCCAAAGTGGTAGAAAAAAAAAAATGGTTAGTGGGAAGAAGCCAAAGAGCAAACTAGGATTTTTCTCCCCAAAACCTCAGAATCATTGCAACTTACTCAGAATGGTTGATTTCCATCTAGTATGTTCCCAAGAATTTTGTAGGTTCTAAACTCTGAGTTCTGATGGGAAAAGCCTGTATTTACCCAATGTATGCTCAGTTAGCTAAATACTAGTCATGCATTATCAAATAATCAGTAAATCCATTTTTTAGAAGCATGACATTAAAATATCCAGTTAATATACAATTCATCACATGCACCTTTTATTAATAATACATTTGTACAGACATGAAAACTTTCCATTCAGGAATGTGTCAATGAGTTTGCAAATCAATTGCCTTAAATCATTCAGATCATTTAACAACTAAGAGATTAAATATCTATAACCCACTAAATAAAATCTTTGTTACCTAGAGGAGATAATGCACAGACCCCAAGCTGTCCAAATAAATGCCAAGACTTGTTTACTCATTAGAATGATATAGAAAAATAAATATCAACAAAAATACCATTCAGACCTAGTCCCAACACGTTCCCCCATTATGAGCTATTTTAGTAAAACTTGGCTTTGGTGGGGCCAGCATCTTTTTTTTTAAAAGAGACCAAGTGCAAGCTTTCCCTGTTGCTCCTATTGATATTACTGTAATTTGATTAGCAAAATGGGCTATTTGAGCAAAATCCTGTGCACATAGCTGCTGTAGCAATTTTTCCATAAACATTTTGGGACCTCAAAACTGCTTAATGGACCAAGGAAAGACATGTTCATAGAGCATCAGACATTTCTGTGAAGTGTATTCCTTTTGAGGTACTACTCAAACACAATTCAAATGTTTTCAATCCATCATCTCTTCTCTTGCACCATGTAACATGTGGAAATTTGATTTTTAAATGGAAAAAAGAAGATGAGCAAGGAAAAAACAAGGAAGAAGTAGAGAGACAGAAAGAGAAAATAAGAAAACAGATTATGTGTATCAGTCCAGAGGGGGTTTTTATTAGAAGAGAGATTAACAAAATAGTAATCAAAGTGATCTTGGAAAGCCGTCACAATGGAAACGTGCTAAATAATATGCTATGATAATATGGTGCTAAATCACAGGTCATTATTTCAACCACATGTAGCTAACAATAACCACATTCAAACAGAGAACATTTAGCTCAGTGTCTTCTATGAACCATCCATGTAATTAATATACTCAGAAAACTTCTCACTGCAAATCTAATTAAGGCAGGAAGAAGTGACAGTCTCTCATGTACTAACATAAGTCCATCCACCAGTATTAGTTCAAGGACTGCTTCCTCTAAGAAGACTTCAGTGGGCTCAAGACCAGGTGGGTAACTCTGTATGGTACTCTAGGGCTTCCTTCTATCATACCAGGTGGAATGTCACTTTATTTGTCAACTAATTCTATAATTGCTGATGGACTTGCTCTTTTTTTTTTTTTTTTTTGGTAAGATACTTGAGAACAGGCTGTTCTTAACTATTATTTTTACCTATTTTTTACATCTGCGCCTGACATATACTTGGTAACAAATTAATATCAATACAAAATGGTCTAGAAGAAAAACAGCCTGGAGTAGTTCAGTCTCATATGGATGGACACCCCAAAATTCTCTGTAGAATTGCTACAAATGATTTATCCTAACCCCAGGATCTAGGAGTGACTGTCACTGGTTATAATGCAAATACTCCCACAAAATAATCTCATGATCTCAAACAAAATTATTATTTTATCTATTAGAGGTTAATAATTGCACAGTGGTTCATTTCAGAATATTTGAGTTTTAAATATTTTACTTTTTAATGATAATATTTAAATACATTAAAGATCTAAGTTTTAATGAAGTGACTATATGATTAAGTTAAAAAATCAATATTGCTTTTTCCCATTTTCTTCATGGATTTGCATGTCATCCTTGCACAGGGGCTATACTAATCTTCTCGGTATCCTTCTAATTTTTGTATATGCGTTGTCAAAGCGAACACTCTTTTTCCCATTTAATGTATATTTTTAATTTAAATTCCAGTTAATTAACATGCAGTGTAATAGTAGTTTCAGGTGTAGAATTTAGTGATTCAACACTTACTTAAGATACTTGTATTTATCAAAGAAGCTTAACTCAAATGTTGATTAACTCTAAAATCTTTTTCCTTGAATTGTTTAAAAACACATATTTGACATAGGGAAAACAGTTTAAGATAGCCACCAACATTCTGTAATTAGGATGAAGTAAGTCAGCATATAAATGTTAAGCAACATTAGTCAAAGTATATTTAAAAAAAATACAGGAATAACTTATGATTAAACATAATGAAACCAAATGAGAAAAGAAAAAAAAAAAGGAACATATCCGTATGGCTTTTCTTCTCTTTTACTGACCACATTAACAACAACAAACCAGTCAACTGCTGCTAAACCCTAAGAAGTACTGTCTGTATTTCTGCCATATGTTAGTAGAAGCATTCTTCTAAAAACCCAAAAACCTTGTAGAGCACACACCCCCATCTGACCCCCCATCTGATAAGGTGGCAAAGGACCTGCTCCTCTCTCCAATCCCTTCTATCCAAATGACCTTAAAGAAACCACCTCAACTCTAAGTCTTATTCCTTTGACTTTTTCTTGCCACCATTACTCACCCACTCCCTACCCTACTCCATCCTCCAAAAAATAACAGTGCTTCTTTTTTTTTTTAAGATTTTATTTAAATATTTATTTGTTTGAGAGAGAGAGAGAGAAAGAGCATGCAAGCATGAACAAGGGGGCGGGGCAAAAGGAGAAGGAGACTCCCCACTGAGCAGGGAACCTGATGTGGGAGTCTATCCTAGGATCCTGAGATCATGACCGTAGCTAAAGGCAGATGCTTAACTGACTGAGCCACCCAGGCGCCCCTAGAGTATTTTTAAAACATAAAATAGATCACAATACTCCCCTGCTGAAAATCCGCTAATAACTGACCATCACAAGCACAAAAATAGCCTCAGCCTTCATTATAGCTGACAAGGCCTAGATGGAGCCCCGTCTGCCCCGCCAGCTACGTCTCCTCCCACTTCCCTCTCCTTTCCAGTCGCAGAAGCCTTCTTCCCATTCCTTGAGCACAGGTTTCTTCTGCTTGAAACATTCTCTCCGTGAATTTCTGGGTGGCTGCCTCCTCCTCCTCACCATTTGGTGTCATTTCAAGTATCAGCCTCACAGTCAGAAAGAACATCCCCCCACACTCCACCCCAGCCACTCCCTACCCGTTACCCCTGTTTATCTTCTACA